CACCACTGCAAAGAAACCACCACCTTTCCTTCACCATGGGCCAACAATGCCAGCTATTGACTCAGCTGCCCTTAGAGCGTTTTCTCCACTTCTCCTGCCTGCACAGCCAGCTTATCACTGCCTTACGTAAAGTCAGTTATCACCTCTGAACTCAGACTGCAGCTTTTCTCACTGAGCATGGAGTAGGCGGGCATCAAAAACCTCCTCAGCCCACCCAGCAACCTCAGGGCTAATGCTGATTGCTGATAGGAGAGGAAGGACAGTGGCAGTGACCAGAATGATGTTCCGTACAATGACCTGCTGGACCCTGCCAAGAGTAAGCACTCTCCTGAGAAAGGCTGTGGGGAATTAAAGCTGGAAAGGAAAGAATCTGAAGACCTGAAATCTTTCATCACAGTGTTTCAAAGCTGGGAAGATCTAAACTACCTGTGTTGTTTTTACTTAGCTGTGTAGAGCAGCATTGGGTTCCAAACTCCACCTGCCATTCCCAAGTTCATAGACTCACAGAATGGTTAGAGTCAGAGGGGACCTTAAAGCTCATCCAGTTCTACCCCCATGCCATGGGCAGGGACACCTTCCACTAGCCCAGGTTGCTCCAGGCCCTGTCTAACCTGACCTTGGACACTTCCAGGGATGGGGCAGCCACAGCTGCTCCGGGCAACCTGTGCCAGGGCATCACCATCCTCATAGGGAAGTTGTGCCAGACGCTGTATGGAAAGAGAGCATAAATGCACTGCCTGAGTCCTCTGAGTTTGACTTTTCCAGGAGTAAAGCCCAGTTCAGTTTTACTGAAGCAAAACACAGCCTGGTTTCCTTCTACACATAAATTAATGGTACCAAAGAATATTAGCGAGCACATTCTGTGATCAGATTTTACCTGATTAATTTTTTAATCACATTTATTTCAGAAGCAATTAAATACTTTGATATGAAACAGGTCATCTGGTTACTTTTGAAAACGGAGGAGGGTCTGCCTAGAGTCACGGATCAAAAACAGACTGCAGGGATGAGAGGAGAAAAAGAAATCCAAGTATATGGGCAAATACAACCCATTTTTCCCACCGTCAGCCTGCTGTTATTACAGGTAAAGATGTTCACAGTTATCTCTGCCCTCTTAACCTCTCTCCTCATTGATCCAACCACCAAGGACTAATCTTGGGCTTATGGCATCACACAGCTTTCTACCAGCAAAGTGCAATGACACAACCAGGTCGAGAATAGAAAGCAAGGAGGAGGAAAGTGCTAAAATGGAACAAGTAGTTATGGAACATTGTTATAAAATCCCTGGGTTAGCCTCTCTGCAGAGCACAACAGTAAAGGCCACAATGATAACAGGACCCAGGAAAAGTTTCCCCTAACACCATATTCTCCTGAATTCACTCCCACAGCAGGGCTGAGAGGTGCTACTGAAACCTTTACATTGCCCATCATTTGGAAGGCAGGACAGGTATGCTGCTCCTCATTTCCTAACACATGGAGCTGGGGTGCTCCTCAGGCTTTGCAGTGGAGTCATCAGACTTGAAACCCAGCATCCTCCACCCCACCACAGAGTCAGCGTGGCAGTGAGCCCGGGGGAAGTTACACTTAGAGAGCCAAGAATACCTTATCTCGCAGGATAAGGTGGAGCTTTACTTTTCCCCTCTTGCAAAATCAGTTATTAAGTAATCTGTTTATGTCACACATACCAGCACTCCTCACAGGGGCATTACAGCAACACAGCGTTACCTTCAAGGAAAGGAACGTGCAGTGCTCAAAATGAAGGGGAAGGATCCTATTGCACAGCCCAAGGCAATGCCTCTTCCTGATTTCCCCCAGGAAAGCCAACTCCTACTCGCTTTCCTTCATGCTCTGCCCTAGACCCGGGCAAATCCCCTGGCTCGCCAGGTCACGTTTCTGGGCACTTCCAGCCAAGCAACTCCTCCTACCTAACATGCACCGAATCTGCCACCAAGCCCTCTCGTGGATCCAGGCAGCAGGGAGGAGCTGAAGTGGAGTAATTTCCAAATGTCAACAGCTGATATCACAGCAACACATTCCAGTGTAGGACCAGGGTGAGGTGCCACCTGAGGGTTGGACTAAACAATCCCTGGAAGCAGGCCCAAGGGACATACTTCTGTCAGGTATGTACGGTTTCTGCTAACGCTACATTTACTCAGTGAGGGCACAAGGGACAACTATCCCACCCTGAAAATTTCTCAACATCTTCCTGACTAGAAATGCCCATTTTCACCCCTTCTTAAAAAGCCAAACCTTCCCTCTCCCCTGCACAACTACATAATCAAATTAGTGTGTGATGTGGTTGTCCAGAGTTGCTATCCCCATCCCACAGACATAACCTGTGGACATCACTGACAGCGAATCGCATTCCTCTCTTCTCTCAAAGAACATGACAAAGAGGGATGGTCAAAGCGACACCTTCAAAACTCTGTCTTCGCCTCTTTGAACTCAAAGCAACTTACAAAGCAGCAAAAGCAGCCTGGTTCCAAGGCAGATTATAATGATCTGCTGGAGAGTTTCCCATTCTCTCCTGCTAACTCCTGCTGCCCTATCTCTTCTTATAAAGGTTAAAACGCCCCTTTCCCTCATGGAAGGAAAAGAAACAATCTCCTCTCTGCTCACTTTCAGTGAAAAAATTAAGTCTCTTGACAGATACTCACCTCCTTTAAAACACCACACTCTAAGTCCAGGAATCTAACAGGGACTTAAAAGCATCTGCACCAAGTGCTGGCCAAAGATCTTGCAACTTGACATCTTAGCCCTTCCACTGGATCTTAAACTGACAGAAGGCAGGGTTAGATTAGATATGGGGAGGAAATTCTTCCCTGTGAGGATAGGGAGGCCTTGGTAAGGGGTGCCCAGAAAAGCTGTGGCTGACCCATTCCTGGAACTGTTGGACAGGCCTTGGAGCAACCAAGTGGAAGGTGTCCCTACCCATGGCAGGGCTGGAACTGGAGATCAATTCCAACCACAGCCACTCTGTGAGCATCCAGTTCATCCCATACATGCAGACCATGACTGCATCTGGGGTGCACATGGGATATGCACACACATTATGCATGCAGATCTCTGTGGAGAGACAGACGTAGCTGAGGACACACAGAGAACTGCAGAAACACTGAGGCTGGAAACATGGAGACAAATAAAATCTCTCCAAAGTGCCAAAGCCTTTAATGCTTACAGGCACTGCTGCAGTGCCCCAGACTGCCAGGCACGCTGAGAATTCCAGGCTGTCCCACTCTGCACAGAGCAGAGCGGCTGAGCAGCAGCTCCCTGGCTGACCCACCCAAGCACCATACGTGCCCTGTGACCCTGATAGATGCCATGGCCTTGGATCCTTGGGTGATTTAGCTGGGCTGCTCCCAGGAGCCTGGCAGGAATCACAGTGCTGCCTTCAGCACGAGGGAATTAGCTGGCTGCACAGCTCCGGGGCTCTCCAGAGGCTCAGCTGAGCAGCTCCAGCTCCAGAGGCCTGTCAAGTACAATTAGGAGCACTTGTTTCACCTCCACTCCTCACTCCCACAGCGAGATGAGCTGCAATGGGACTGTTAGCCCAGCTAAACCGAATGAGGATATACACAACAGAGCAAAGGATATGAACACACCACAGCCACAAATATTACTTTAAGCAGTAACCACACTCCCTGCAGACAGCCAGAAGGACCCTCCTGCGCTCATCACCAGCCACCACTTGTATTATATTCCTGGAGCATCACATGCGGCCATTGCACCTCAAAACAGCACGTAGCAACATCTAAAACAGTAAAACATAAAAAGTGCCCTCTCTCTCTTTCCCGCTCCTCAAATGTTTCTGCTGTGCCAAAGTGTCAATTATTCCACAAGCAAAAGGCTAATACAAACCTGACCCTGCAGACAGCAAATAGCCTCATTAAACCCAATATGATGATTTATAGTGGCTGAGCATAGATTACTTCATTCCAGACAGGAAGAAAACACAGGCTTTTCAGTGGAAAGGACTGGCTTGGTTTGCTGGAAGTGTTCTAACTCCTCTTTTTAGAGACTATTTCCTCTCCTACTGCTGGATCCTTTCCTGTCCATTACTGTTGACAATGTAACTCTAGACCTTTCAACACATTTTCAATTGAAAAGCCACAGGCATTTGTTTGCAAATAAAGAAATTAGAATAAAATTATACCCTGAAGTCAGGAAGGAAGGATAGTTCTGCAAGGTAAAATCCTCTCCCTTCTAAGTAAAGTCCTACCCTATCCTGCTCTCCTCCTTCTCCCCTACTAGTTTATCAAGCCCACAGACAACCAATCCTCAGAAAATGAGAAAAAGAGAATTTGCTGCCATTTACTCACTCCTATCAGCTTCATCATTTTTCCAGGAAGAAACTTGAAGTAAACTCCTTTAAATTCCTATTACCTTTGGGATTTCACAACATTTCTAGTTAGAGAAAAAACAAAAACACTTCCAAGGGAGTCTACTCTTTCCCTATGAAGTGAGGAAACTGTCTTCTCTGTTAAAAAGTTCTCCTTCAAGGGAAAACTCTTCTCTTTATGCCTCCCAAGCACAAAGGATAAACCAGGGAAATGTTCACTTCCCACCTTAAGTCCACCCTGACACTTGGTACAAATTCTGCTGGTTTTTCCACTTGGCTTCTCCACCTGCCTCCACATTTTCCATGCTCATGACTGCAGTGGTGATAGGCAAGTATTGCAAAACTCTGTTCCTAGAGGAAAGCAAAGCAAACAGCTCTGGTGCTTCCCAGCCATTATGCAAGGCACAGCAAACAGGACTTTGGGGGAAGTGGAAGTGTGTGCCAGCAGCACCCAACAATGTTCGCTCCAGAACTGAAATAGAGGATTTCTCTAAAAAGTCACTTCCACTCTGACCCAGCCTACTCATGTTTCAGTCAATTTTAGGATGAAGTACTGGGCAACCCAAAGGCACCCTGGTTCTCTGCCCTCTGACTGCGCCCACCCTACATACAAACACCAAAGGAAAGGCACCCTTCCTCCCCAGCAGTCCAAGTCTCTTACCTTCCACTTCTTCTTCATCACATACATGTTTAAGGAAGGAAGCCCCTCTATCCAGTACTGCCTCGTCCTCCATCCTATAGTAATAGAAAAGAAAAAAGGAATGCTCAGACTTCTCCTGGAGCGAGCTGTTTGAACCAGCCCAAGTCCTGGGCAGGTTAACTTGCAAGCTGTTGTTCATGTTCCTGTGGGCACTCCTGTCCTCCTTCCAGTGCCTGCTGTTTCTTCATAGAGCTCCTTTCACATGGCGTTTGCTTTAAGCTGGCCTCACGTAGCTCCGAATCTGACCTTGAGAGGACATCAGTGGTGACAGGTGTGAACAAGGTAATCCCAGCTACAAGTCTCTGGGGGCTTTCCTGTTTCTTGTGTCTGGCTTTTTTCCCTCCTCCTCCTTTTTCCAAAAAGTACAACCACACAAGCAGGCTTGGGGCTGTCTATGCAACAGCCAAGCGTCGTGGGACGGCAGCTTGCCTCTGATGCCGTGCAGGGAGGCGAGCGGGCACACCCCACACGGCCACGGGCGCGCTCCAAGCACTGCCCGGGCTCTGGCCAGCCTCTAATACCAGCACAGCACACTTGTGTGCTGGGAGCCCGGCTTTGTGTCACATGCTGGCCTTACAGAAATCTGACATATGAGGATTATCCCGAGACCAAGCTACAGTAAGTCAGATCATCACAGCAGTCATTTATGTGTGTCACCCATTCATTCATCCATTTGGGGAAGGGTTTTAGCGGTTGCCCTCCTTCCCCTCCCCTTTTCTCTCCACCTCTGATCTGCCTCTGCGGACAGCAGAGGCTCCTAATTCCACGCTTCTGCCATCGTCGTGCTTCCAACAGAGCTGCCCAGAACTCCTGCTGCTGTGGTTCCCCCACAAAGTCAGACCCTGCCTGCGTTCCAAGGGTACATCTGCAAATCCACTCTTGACAAGCAAATACAAAAATAATAAAATAATAATAATAAACAAAATTGGAACTGTTAAATAATCTCCTTAGAGGCTAAGTACACATTTGCTACTCACTACTGGGCAGTCGCCATGGGAGCTTTCTATCCTAATACAGCTGAGACCAAACTGGTCACTTGTTTTCATACCAAAAATCAGGCACAAAACAACACCTTTTCCTTGTATTCCCTCAGGGAAATAGGGACAAACTCGGTTCAGAGTGAAACAAGGCCTTCAAAACTTCTTCCCATCCATATCGCTTCCATTCAAAATCCTCTGAGAGCAATAGCAGCAAACACTTGCGGATCATCTTAATGGAATATTCAAATTCAGAAGGGTATAAATACTGAACAGATGAATACCAAGAGTTCAGAATGCGTTAGGGTGTCTACCTTGCATGCCAATGCCTGGCTACCTAACTGGAAAATAAAAAATAAGACTCAGCCACAAAAGGAAGTACCAGAGTCCCATTTCATAAAAGCAGTACCTCAGTAGCCACTCTCCCACCTCTGCCAAGTTTTCCTCCACTGCTTAAGCCAACTCCTCCTTCACATAGTCTGTTTCTGCCTGAACTCCAGGAGCCAGAGGATTTGAAGCAGAAATTTCCCTGAGCTAGGAAAGGTGCCATTCCCCAAGCAGCTGCTGCTGGGTGCAGAGGGGCGGGACGTGCTCCTTGCCAGGACAGCACACCCAGCCAGCACTCAGGCACACACCAGCCTCCCCTGAAAGCTCCAGCTCTTCATTAAATTATTTAAGGCTATTTATGCATCTTTTCTAAGGCAACAGGAGGGAACATATTCCATGGATACCCTTGCCTGTTTGTAATGATTGTAAAGGCACAACCTCATATTTTTTTAATTATTTTTTTCCTGCAAAGCAGCACAGTAGCTCCTTGCTATAAACTCAACTGGAAACAGCTGGAACAGATGGGACTGGATTTCCAGACCAAACACAAACTACAGGAGCTTTATTCCTCTGTAAAGTCCGTACTTATCCTGGCATTCAGCTCCATTCCCTGAGCACCCACACATGTGCAGGTGTGTAATGCACCTGTGGGTCCCACAGCTCTGCCTAAATTGTGTCCCAAGGCCAGCTCTTCCAGCCTTGGCAACATCAGCCCATGGCAACTGAGTAGCAACAACGTGGTGGAGCAGAGAAAGACAAAAGAAGAGAGCAATTTCCACTGCCTGCAAGGGATACAGTGCTGAGAATTCACCAGTTACCATCTCCCTGGGCAAATGTCTGCCCATCCTCCCCATGACAGCAGAGCATCCTTCCATACATCACCCTGCCAGTGCTGAGCATCCACAGCAGTGGGAATGGCCCCCACCCTCCCAGGAACATCACCTTGCCAGCCTGGAATGGGTTTATCTCATTTAACAGCCATGAGTTTTCAGCTCAAGAGGGCTGGAAAACTGATCAGCAAGGCTGATGCTTTCCCTGAAACTTGTATCCAAAGGAGCTGGGGGGGTTGAAAGGGCCAGGAATAGAGCTTGGGTCACCTTGGCACAGCACCCCAGCCCTAATCCACAGGAGTTTAGTGATTAGACTCCAAGCACTACCTCCCGTGACTTGGTCTTGTCTGCCCTTCTCAGATTATCACAGGATTTCTGTGGGCCAAAATCTAGCAAGAAAACATCCTTTACCAGTTTGCATGGGGAAACTATTTCAGCCTCCTGGAATTTTTCAAATACCATGAAATGGAAGTTGCAGAAATTAAAAAGAAAAAAAAAAGATAGCGATGTGGAACAACAAGAAAATCTTCCCTTGAGTCTTCAGGGGAAGACTGGTGAAGCACTGCAGCAAGACTACTATCCCATGGAAGGCACACACACACTGCAAAGAAGAAAGCATGGAAAAAATTTTAGGGCCTCAGAAGAGAAATGTGCTCTCAGTTAAACCTGGTTTACCAACTCCTTGTTGGAAGGTAAAGGGGTTTTCAGGCATTTCTTGTCTAGATCCATATCCTCATGACTGCTGCTGCAACCTTTTGGAAACAAACCTTAAAAAAAAAAATTAAAAAATATTGGGCTTCTATTTTCAGGGTCTGACAGACTGTGCTCTAGTGAAAAAAACACAAACTGCTTGAGTAACTGGTCTCTCTGGGCCAATGATTAGATCAGTGCCAAACATTTTTAGAAATGATGTTATGTGTCAATAGGATTTGAACAAGAGTCACATAACAGCCAGCAGCAACTCTGCTCTGCCTGCAAAGCGCCAGCAGATACAGCTCCCTGAAATATTCTGCCCAGCTACTCGGCAAGAACAAGACCCGTTTAGTACTAGCAGGGAGCCCGGACTTGCTAATGGCTGCACTCATCTGCCAGCATCTGTTCTGCTCATCACAACATGAATTCTTCCTGCAGGTCTCTGGTTGCAGCACCAAACACTTGCACTGCATCTTCCAGGCAGTGCAAAGCAGCGAGTAACCTCGGAGTTACCGCTCCCGTGCTACTCCAGGCAGAGGCCGGCTGCCAGCACCCCCGGGAGATGGAGTGCTGCCACCACCCGGCTGCTCCACTCCAGAGCTGTCAAACTTGGAAGGCTGAGGGCTGGAGAGAGGGAAAGTGGTGTTTGGCGTAAATAAAAAGGACTGATGTGGCAACACGAGATGTTGCGCGGAGTTACAACTCGCCGGAGTGAATAAAATGCCTAACAGAGCTGGGGAGCCAGCAGGGAGAGTTACTGCTCGCTGATAAGCTTTTACAATTCTGCCCATTTCCAACGGCTTTTGCAATCAGGAAGAAACCCCAGCAAACTCTGAACTGCACAAGGAAAAAAAACGGAGCCAGTTCCGTAACTGGAGCAACGTAACACAGAGCCGTGAGAAAGTCACATTAAAGAGCAGCCCAACGAGCTGGGGCGTGGAGTGGGTCAAGGGCTGAGGGAGGAGGCAGAGCTCCAGGTCACAGAGCAGCAGCGCCGGCAGCAGGGCTCCCGGCGGATCGGTGGGAGCTACCAGCCCCGGGGTGCTTGTCACGGCACCCGCTGCGCCACAGCTCTGCCAGGCACATGTGGGGAAGCTCTCCACTCTCCCAGGAAAGGCAAGGGAAAGATCTTCCTGAGTGTGCAGAGTCAACCACCCTGTCTGCTTCACAGAGCACAGCACTAGTGACCAATCAAGACTGTTTTCCTCAGAAAACTACCATTTTCAAAGTGGAGTGGGAAGGCAAGGATGGGGATGCTGCAGGAGAAAAGACACACCCAAGCTTACAGTGCACGGGGCATCGTGGGCTGTTTGGCAGGTCCCAAATCCCACAAGGTTTACCCTGAATCTACCACATACTGCTCCCCCTCACCACATACCTCTCAAACACAAAAGGGGAGACTTGCTCCGGTAGGATATATCCACAACCCGACACTGCTTCCCACAGGTGTAACCAACACTACTTGTGACAAGCAGCATCATCCAACCTTCAACTGCAGATGGATCAACACAAATGGATAGCCAGACCTGAAGGCTCCCACAGACAGGACCTGGACCTGAGCAGAGAGAAGAGCCACCAAAGGCTTCCCTGCCAGTGACACCCAGTGCCCTCACCAAGCCACCCAAGTTAGATGCCAAGTGTGTGTGGATACATGTGTATGTGCATCCCAAAAGGAATGAGTTAGCAAGCCAAACAGGCTGCTTCTGTCAGTGGGCTTCAGGGAGACAGAGATAACATTATTCCTTCTCTCTGCAACCTGTAAAGCATTCAGACACTGCAATTGTAGTGGCCAAGTAAACAGGAAACCAGGAAGGAGACTTGGTCCCAGCTGATGCTCTCACAGCCCATATGCAAATACATGAATAAACAGACCTAATGTGACCAATTCCTTTTTAGGGCCCTGATGTGTTCTTGTTTTCTCACATACTTGCATATGGGCTCTATCACGCAGGAAAAAAAAAGAAAAAAAAGAGCTTCTAACTATACTCAGCACAGCCTGGTTGATGCACTCTCGGAACATGTTGCCAAATTTATCCCAGATGCATTTTCCCCTGTCAGCTCTAAAGCAGCATTTATTTACAAGCTTCCTCAGCAAAAGGCTGTACTCACCCGGAGCAAAGCAGGACAGAACCCTCCGCTTTGCACACAAAGAACTTGCAGCATAATATTTATAAACCAAATAAATTCCCAATTAAGTCACCTCATTAGGTGAAATGTTTCCCGTTACAGAGGTGTTCTCAGGGATTGAAATTAAGCCCCGTGACAGGATTTAAATAGAAGTCTCAGTTCTTGACTAAATCTTGTTTTCAAAAACTCTTACAGACTGGAACGTCAAGAACTCTAAATGTTTTATCTCAACTCATAGGTGAAGTTTGCGAGAGCACCTTCCTGAAACCAAGATAAGAATCATTTGCATTCACAATAGCAAAATAAGTTCCATCACCTGGATTTCAATTTTGATCTCCAACAACTTCAGAACTCTTTAAGTTGGATAGGTTCCAAAAATAGAGTAACTACTAGGAAAAACAATCAGGAGTGAATGAAGCTACAGCTTTCTTCTGCACAAACAATAAAGTAACACTATCAAAACACAGGGAAATATAAGGGGAACACTGTCACTGGATGCCAGGGCAGGCGTAACAATTGAAGCTTTTGCTTCATTGTGATTAAATGACTTACCATAAAATGACGTGACTATAAAAACTGATAAGGTCAGCTGCCTCTTCAGCTGGTGACTCTGCAAGAAGAAGGCTGCCTTGAACTCCAGCTTCATTTGAGAACTGCAGGATCTCAGTGCAAGCCCCTCTGCAGGAAAGGGTGAACCTCTGCTGTCGAGCACATGGCTCCTGACACATCCCACATCCATCTGCTGTATTTCATGTAGCTACAGCCAGGAAAAGGTACAGAGACACCCTGTAAGGAATTCAAGCTTGCTCTTTGGCAGGAGCTTAAGGGGATGGAATCAAATGAGATGAATCCACAGGAAGAAGTGATTGTGGACTGCAAATATTATGAATGTATCTGTTTGAAGAGAACATAAATCAGACATTTTCATAGCTTTGTTTTCTGGAAAGGATGAAATGGAAAAATAGAAATCACAAAAATAGCTTTCTGTAGAGGCAGAGTGGCATCAGGTTTTAAACCCATGTGCAGTACTGAATTTTTCCTAAAAATTATTATTTCAAGCCAGCCTGTGGCATCTGAACTATTTTTGGCTATTTATTACCACAACAATGTCATGTCCTGCAATAATTTTGTTACAGTTTTATGCCTGAGAGGCAACTTCTTACTTGACCATGTGTCTATTTGAAACCAATGCTGGTTTATACAGTAGCTGCTCCTCGTTCCAGCCTCTTGTAAGAGCTCTTTTTGAGGAATCTGTGACTAAGTGTGCTGAGTCACACACACAGGAGCAGGTACCATGGGCTAAGAAGCAGAGCAACGTTTCAAATGTGTATTTTACATCAGCTCAGCACACAATTTTCAAAGTGCAGGAGATCTGGATACTCCTATAGAGAAACCTGGACAAAGAAACAACAGCTGCAGAAAACTTCCACCATCTGCTGCATATTGTTCACCTGGAACCTCCAAAAGCAAGGCATGGGAAGGCTGATCCTGAGGCAAATGCCCAACTGTAAACGAGGATGTTAGAGTGGGCAGCTTGGTCCCGTGTCTAAAAGCAAAGAGTTATCTGGGCTGGGCAGTGCTGTGTTTAAGTCCATTTCCCACTGAGCAAAGGAACAGGCAGTGTGTACAATGAGGGGTGGGGCAGCACACCACTGGCACCACTCACCCAGGGCTGCTTTTCTCCAGGGAAAACAACCTGGCACGCTCAATCCTGCCTTCCCAGCAAGCAGCTAGCTCCTGCACTTGTCCTCTCCTGCGAGTGCTTTGGGGTGAAAGTTCTCCATAGCAATCACACCACACAAAAGGTGTGAGACCAGCTCATAGCTTAATTTCACCTCTGTAATTACAGTCTGAAGCTCTTCCCTTCCCTCAGGCTTCTGACTGTCAAGTGTACAACTCCTAGAGCTGCATATTGTCCCACCAATTACCTCCAAGATGTTGAAGCCCCTCTAAAAGCATCATAAATCTCTGGACCACTGATGGTAACATGGGTACAGAGCATGTGCTGGCTTGCTGCTGCAACAAGGACAGGCAAGACCTGATCCAGCACAATCCAGACTCGAGCTCTGGTTGGCAGAGGCAGAAAGCCTGGTTGTATAAAACATTTTGGACATATCTGAAGCAGCCAAGGGAGCTAATGCACTCTCAGCACTTCCCAGAGTGCAGGCACAGCGTTTCTGATCCAGTTCTTGGCATTCTGAAGCGATACGTGAATTCACAATATGCTGGTTTCAAAAACATAATCTAGCATAAAGGATATTTTTAACATGGATCATTTTGGGAATCTGCTTAACCACTTGCATGGCATTACACAAGCAGGAACTTCTCAAAGTGCACTTATCCCCAAATTATGCAAACTTTACTTGGTTACTAGATGATGGTCTCGGTAAAATTGCAATTCTTCCACATTGGAGCAGCTGCTCCAAAGTAAGAAGAGATGTGATACCACTTGAGTTCACCTCCAAAGGAGCGTGGAGAGAGCATACAGCTGTAAAACTGAAACAGAAGGGCAAAAGCCATCCAAAACAAATGCCAACACACACTCAAGACTCAGGCAGAAGAAAGGACTCCAAAAATATTAGACAAGGGAAAAAAAAACAGTGGGCTTTGGACCTCATCCTCACTCGAGTGCCAACTGTTCATGCAGAAGACTTTATGGTGACCATTCCCAGGGGTGATGAGACAAAATCTTTGCTGAGGAAGGTCACTGGCATTGATCCTGGTGCATGCATCAAAACCTAATTCAATAATAGACACTCAACACTAATGCAGACCTGAGAGCCAGAAATGCAAACAGGCAGATTTCAAACTAAATGCCCTTCTTGCCTTCAGTGGCTGCACTGGGAAGAAAAAAAAGGAAAAAAAAAACCCAACCTAAACCCAGAAGAAATAAAAACAACAACCCAAAACACAAAAAACTACAAAACCACCCCAAAAAACCACAAAACCACAAGCCAATGGAAGCTTACTGAAGATAAAGAAATGTTTTCTGACAGGAGAGAGGGGAGTGAAATGCAAAACCATTTTATAACTTGAGACTGAACTGAAAAAAATAATTTCATCACTTCCACCAATTTAAGCTCCAGTCAAAAAAGAGTCAGTCACAGCCCAAAGCAGCATGGACCCGCGTGGCCATTCTGTCTCCCAAGAGTGCCAAGTGCTCAAGAAAACACTGCTTACACCAGCACAAGCCACAGAGCCAGAAGGATACAAGTCCCTCACAAGTGATACCCCTGAGGATCACTAAGCAGAAACACAACTGCAAGTGACAATTCCCTTCCACACAGCCACAGATTGTGCTCCTGCTCCTGGAAGAGCATCTGCTGTGTCTTCTGGGGGCTGTGATCAGGCTGTTGGGACAACCATATGCATGGTGTCTGGCTATCACCAGTGATATTATAACTAATTATATTAGTATTATAACTAATTATATTATAATATATAATATCATTAACCAGTGATATTATATATTATACCTACAGTCAGGAAAACTTCCCCTCCTCAAAATTTCACATGGTAACAGAGGGGCAAGTTGGTAGGAAACACCTGTTCCAGAGCACTAGCAGCCACTGGGATATAACACAGTCTGGGGAAACCTCACTGACACAGCCACTAGCCCACAGAGAGCTCATCCACACAGCCACACACTTGACAGAGCCTGCAGAGAAAGCAAAGGGGGATTTTGTACACTTCTAGGGAGCAGGTCACAGGGGCACGGAGCAAAGCATCACCTTCAGGTGCCCCTTGCCCCTCTGTGCACGCAGCTTGCGAGAGCAGCACATTGTGGTGACCCACTCGACACCTCAGCTCGGGCGCGTGACACCAGCCAAGAGCAGGCCCAGCCTGTGATCTTTACACTCAGCCCTGCAGACCAATTAGTCATTAATGAGAGTCTGGCCCAGAGCAGGCGGGGGGCACATGATCGCGTTCTCTTGGCATTAGTCAGCAGATGCAGCGTGGTACCGGCTCCTTCACCAGGACACCAGCTCCAACGGGACGGACATGATGCAGCATAAAAGCAGAGTGGTATGAGCAGACAACGCATGATCCAGCATAAAGGCAATCCATTTAGCAATGCTCAACTCACCTCACCAGCAAAATGTCTTTGCTTCAGGACTGGCATTTTGCTCCATGGGAGAGTCAGGTTCTTAATTTGGTTCTCAGTGCCCTAAAGCTGCGATTACTGTATCCTCCAACCACGGCCAAGAGCGCAGAACCCAACTGCTGAGCAGGCAACTCCCAAGTTTTAACAAGACTGTCCTCTACGTGACATCCATTTAAGGGCAGCTCAAAATAGACTTACTCATATCAGCCTAAAACAAGACTGTGAAGAAAACAACAACCCGAGAGCTCAAAAGTAATCTCTTGCCAGAAAGTACTCACAGCTACTTCTTCTGAACTCCTTCCTTGTGACCCATCAATGTTGTCTGGAAGAACAACTTGTGGGACAAAACTGGTAGGAACACAGCTATGCTGATAAGCAGCGTTGTTGCAGGACATCCTGTGGCCCCCAAAGTAACCTAACCACCAGTATAATGACTACTGAGCTTGGACAAAAGACCAAGCAGAGTTGTGCAAAAGAAGAGAAAATGAGACTTTACCATCAGTCTTTCTTTTAGTGGCTGGAAAACTTCATCTGCTCTAGGAATGGACTATGAAAAAAATCCTATGGATAGAGAAAACCTACAAAATTAAGATCACTTGCATCTTCCTTTATCAAAGGAAGGCTACTCAGCCTCCTCTACCACCACTTATACAATTCTTTCATTGCGATGAGCTCCTCTCCCTGCATGGTAGTTGGCTCCCTCTGATCATTAGTCCATAAACATGAATTTCCCAGACATTCCTCAAATGTTCTCTTCAGATTTCCCATGTGCTTGTACAATTCAGCCCTTTACCCATTAGGTTTCAAGCAATAGTGTTTTGACACGAGCAAGAGCTATAAAAAAAATTTTACAGGTCCCACACTCTCTCTCCTCTTCCTCTAGAACTCTGTATAAAGCAAGAGTTGCTACTTCGGCTTTAGGAACTATAAACTCAAAGGCACCCTCAAGAACAACAGCAGATATAACATTCTGTGCTGCTCTGTCTGGGGTACAGCTAATTTTCTTCTCAGTATCTAGTACAGGGCTACGGCTTGGATGTGTGCTGGAAACACACAATTCACAAATGGGAATTCACCAATGTTGCAGCTACTCCTGTGGGATAGAGCAAGCAGAGGTGCAGCGCTTGGTTTCCAGCTGGGGTTAAATCGGGACGGTCCTTTTTGGCATCCAGTACAGGGCACAAAGGGTTCAAAATAACGGCAGATTTGACTGGAATGTGCTAGGTGGAATTCACAGCTGTCATAGCTGTATGGATACTAATCAGCAGGCTCCTTTCCTGCCATGGGCACGCTTGCCTGGCTGCATATAGTGCCTAGAGCTCATCAGGGGCAGCTTTTGCTTTCGGTGCTCACCGTGGTGCTTATCAGGCTGCTCCGCTGGGCCTGGCAATGCTCTGATAACAGCAATGACGACGACGTGCCCGGGCTGGCGGGGCCCAGCGCAGGGCTACCGTGCTGCTGTCCTGGGGAGGCTGCAACCACAGTGGGAGCTGGAGCCAACAGGCTGTGACCTGTGATGACATCTCAAAGGATAACTC